TGCATGACAAACGTTCTGTATTTGAAAACCCCACTGAAATGTGCACCCGCATCTTCATTGCCAACCGCTGAAACAGCTTGGTTGTTTCTCCATGCCGTATTGTGTCCTTGTGGGCAGATTCATCAGGCAGCCCAGATGGAAAGGGCTGTAACGATGCTTTCACGCCAGAAAGGTTCAAGAATGAAGGCCGTTGGCTGAGTGCATCTCCCTCCGGCGTTGTCCTTGTTTTCTGCCAGACGACGACACACGCGGGGGCTGTGAATCGAGCACGTGTTCGCTTAAAAGAAATGAGTTTTTCACAAGTGACACACCCGGGGGCTGTGAATCGAGCACGTGTTCGCTTAAAAGAAATGAGATTTTCACAAGTGCTCCATGTTGGCCTAACTCTGCTCCTGTTGAATGCTCAAAATGAGTTTTTCACAAGTGCTCCGTGTTGGCCTAACTCTGCTCCCATTGAATGCTTGAGCTCCCATTGACTCCCTTTGGAGCAGAATCGGGCATGTGAATTATTCACATCACAATGTGAATCGCCTGAATGTCGGGTCTTTGGCTCTCCAGCCGTGACAGTGTTTAGGGGCTTGGCTTTTTTCTCCCTGCAGAGCTGTTGGGTTGGCCTTTGCGCCGTCAGTCCAAAACTAAAAGCAGAGAAAGCACCTTCCTTTCCACACTGAGACCTCCACCCCAGGGAGCCGAACACAAATGGGCAGAGCTCAGACCCATCGGTGTCTGAGAGAACTGCAACACCCACGGGAAATGTAGGCTCTGGGGCACACGAACCAACTGGCCAGGTCCTTTCCACAAGCCATGTTGACTTGAATCCCCCCTTCCAAAGAAAGGACGAGGACCCATTGGCTCCCTCGCCCAGTCCCAGCTGTGGCATCCATCTGCAGAGGGCAGGGGAGGAATGAACACAGGACTGGGCACTCACACCGGCAGGGAGCGGGATCCGGCGATGGATGTGCACCGGAACATGCTCCCGTGAACGGCTTGCGTGCAAAGCCACAAACCATTGTGGGAAACACCCTCGAATGATTAACAACGCGGAATTGTTTCTCGGTGTTATTAGTCACGTGTTTGTTCAGGAGGGGGAGCTGTCTGCCCCGCTCTCTGTGTTAAAAGGACTCGCTCCCTCTGCCGGGCAGCAGGAGAAAAGAGACAGTAGCTGTCGCTGAATAAAGCCATCGGGGAATCTCCATGGCAGTGCGTTGGCCGGCGCGCCCCTGGTGTACTGTAAATCCGGCACATTGGAAACCTCCCAAGTCCATGAATCTTGTGCACTGAAATTCCATTCCTGCCTTAACCGTTTGATTCATTTCATCGCTTCTTCCTTTTGAAAGCTTCCGGGAGGGGAAGGTGGGTTTGACAGGCTCATGAGAGGGAGGGTCCGGAATCACAGGCCAGGGTGTGAAGAGCCCGTAATCTGTCAAGCTGTAGGAGCTCTCTAGGCAGCAGGGAAAGCATGTTAGCTCTGCTACCTCAAATTGGACCGAACTGCAAAGCTCTGAGTGTGAAATTCCCCCACAGTGGGGCTGGAATAGTGGTTCAATGATCCACGCGAGCAGCCACTGCTGTTTGTCTGCATGGCCACCTACGCTAATGAGAGCAACACATGACTCTGTTCCTACCAGCCAGCGTGTCTCTCCTTACACCTCGTGTGTCTGAGCCATGGTCACGGCTTTGGTCAGTTGTCACCATCGGGCCTTTGCTTTTCCATTGATTTCTTTTAGACTCTGTGTGGTAGGAAAGTCATTTGTCCTTCTCCCCCCACACAACTGGTCCGACGAACAGCGCATGCAGCCTCAGCTTTGGTACCTGGTGTGCCCTTTCTTCCGCGTGACCATGTTCCTGCCATGAGGGGAATGAAGCTGCTTGCAGGGTTAAGTTACGCTTAGCTGTGCTCTGTGCTGTGAAACATTCCTGCCATGAGGGGAATGAAGCTGCTTACAGGGGAAAGTTCCCCTTAGCTGTGCTCTGTGCTGTGAAACACGCCTTGTCATGCACCATGCTCAAGGAACTCATCTTCCTTGTGGAGTTCAGTGGTGCCTGTTGCATGGTAGTTGTTGCTTTTCTGTACATTTCCAGATGGCTTTTCCCCCCTGCTCTGTCACTTGATAATATCATAGAGCACTAGACCTGGAAGGGACCTCGAGAGGTCAAGTCCAGTCCCCTGCCCTCACAGCAGGACCATGCACCATCTAGACCATCCCTGACAGGTGTTTGTCCAACCTGCTCTTAAATATCTCCAGAGATGGAGATTCCACAACCTCCCTAGGCAATTTATTCCAGTGTTTGACCACCCTGACAGGCAGGAAGCTTTTCCTGATGTCCAACCTAAACCTCTCTTGCTGCAATTTAAGCCCATTGCTTCTTGTCCTATCCTCAGAGATTAAGGAGAATAATTTTTCTCCCTCCTCCTTGTAACACCTTTTTAGGTACATAAAAGTTGTTCTCGTGTCCCCTCTCAGTATTTTCTTTTCCAGATTAAAAAACCTCAATTCTTTCAGTCTTCCCTTGTAGGTCATGTTTTGTCTTAACTGCTCCCCCATTAAAAATATCGTTCGTACTTGCATCACCTGTGTTCTTGACTATCATAATACTCTGCATGTAGCATGCAATAGTGTTACTCAAGAAAGGTCTGTCTACCTCCAGGAAGAATGTGTTTTGGTTTGATAACCTATGATTACAGATTAGAATTTTCAGATGAGATTTAATAAAAGGTCTTACGTTTTCCATAGTCTCCTAGGATTAGTGTTGTTCCCTGCTACAGACTGGAGAGAAGTGCATTTAATTATATTGGCCGTTCTTTTCCATGGTGGTTTTCAAATTTCAGCTGCAATTTGATAGAAATATTTCTGGGCTCATTTCTTAGTGTTTTGATACGGTCATGAAAGGAGTGTTGGAGCAATGGAAAAGAAACTGAAGAATAACAACGTATACTGGTTTATTCTCTCAGCCGGGAAGCCGACTGTCTCCAGTGCAGAAGAGAATGGTGTTCTTGCTATTCTAGTCCAGTTACATTGGCCTAATATGACTTTCAGCCTCTCAGTAGGAAGGGAAGAGGGGAATAAAAAACAGAAGAAAAATGAAATCCAGACTTGTAATTTCTCTGTCTGGTTATGTATCTTAGTATGTGTGTGTATGAAAGTGTATGAGAGCTATATATATGCTAATTGACTGATTCTCAAACATAAACTGCTCTTCATGTAAGGAGTCTTGTGTCTCTGAATTTTGCAGTTGCCTTCAGGGTGTGTCTAGCTAAGGCATCAATGGCTATCATGAAGCTCCCGGAGCGGGTACCCTCCTTGTTTCTACAGTGTTTAAGGACAACTAAGTCACTGGGAAAGAGAAATTAATTTCTTGTCTTTAAACACAAATTGTCTATTTTTGCACACCCTTAAATATGAGGGTGGGGTAGGATGTGTGCTCAGGAAAGAATGGTTTGGTTAACGTTTGAACCCTCGAAAAAAAGCTCTTTACTTGTAGGGCAAAAAAAGATCAAGATTGTTCTGGCAGGGAGAATGGCTTTTATTCAAGCCCAGCGAGTTTTAATTAGGCAAATGGACACACAAATGAATGCGGGCTGAATGGATTTATTTTTGTAGAAAACTTTGCCTCAGTTTGCCCGTTTGTTTTGGTGTGAAAGCCACGGTACCGTGAATATCTGTGCAGAAGAAAGAACTAGAAAGGGCAGACAAGAAAGTGGTAACACACACACATTTCTGAGTGTCATACATGGTATTAAGTTGACCTTAAACATGTCATTTCATTAGGAAATATTTCTTATACAAGTCTGTTACACAAACAGTTTCAGTGGACGGCTTGCTTTGCTGTCTGGCATAGAATGACATGTGGAATTACTGGGCGCCGCTTAAACATCTTTCACCTTCCACCCAGGGTTAGCGATCTGGCAACAACATATAAAGTGAAACCAATACATGCTGTTTGTTAAGTGTATGTAGTGCTTTGGGAAAGGGGGGATGAAAGGGATAAGTTGTAATAACATCTATCTATCTATCTATCTATCTATCTATCTATCTATCTATCTATCTATCTATCTATCTATCTATCTATCTAGTCACATGGTTTGGGTTGTGAGTAGCATCCATGCAGACAACTCAGGGAGGGAGTGGGAATGTTGGCCAACATCACATGGACAAACCCACACTTTTTATGTCAGCCTAAATTTTCAAAATTGTATGGACAGCTTCTGTACACTTGTCTTATGTGCACGACCTCCTGCGCTCACCAGGGAGTCCGGCTGGCACTGGCAGATCTACGCCTTGTGTACGTGCATCGGAAGTGCCTGCAGGCTTTGGCAGAGTTGAGCTCTGGTGTCCGTACAGAGAAGGGAGGAGCTCAGCTAGCCCAGTCGTTATTACAGAGTAAATGGCGTGGAACCGGGTGTGTCTGGCTCAGAAAGATTCAGGGCCGAGTGCGTCTTGCGAGGATCACGATGCTCAATACCAGGAATCTAGGGATTTAAAACTTGCTGCTTTGAAGGTATTTGTTTAGGCTATAGGCTGTGCATGCTAGATGTCTACTCTTGTCACTATTATAAATAATTTAATACACAAAGAGGAAATGGGATAGCCCAGCCTGGTTAGAGAGAGAGCGCAGCCTCAGAGATGGGATTTCCCCTTGGAGTATTCCAGTTGTTTAATTCAGTCCATCTCTACTCTCTGTACCCGATAGCATGTTCCAGTGTCTGACAGTTGCCCAGAATAACTCCTCCCCTATTGGGGATGATGCTGTTGCAGAGTGAGATCTGCAGGACGACTTATTTTGAATGGCTCGTGATGCACTTTGGTGCTCTTTGCACGTCTGTCCTTGTGATTTTTCACAATGGCTCGAGTGGCGAAACCCGAGGATATGGTGCTCTCCCCTCCTCTCCTCTGCCCATTCCTCAGCTCTGGAGTCAGCCAATAGCCGGGAGCAGTGCTAGGGGCAGCTGTTCTCATGCCCACTTCTCTGACTGTTTCTGTCCCTCCTCCCATCTGCAGATGTCGACGAGTGCCAGGTTCATAACGGGGGCTGCCAGCAGAGATGTGTGAACACTCTGGGTTCCTATTACTGCGAGTGCAAGCCAAGCTTTCGCCTGCACACGGATGGCAGGACCTGCATTGGTAAGTGGAGGCTTCCCTTCTTTGGGGAGCCTCTTTTTCTCTTGGCCCCTTTTAGCCCCAGGGCAGCATTGCATGGGACACAAACGTGCTTTCCTTTCGCCCCTCTCTCTTGCTTCCATTGCCCATGCAAGGCGGGGACGTGTGGAAGTGCAGAAATCAGTGGCTGATTTCTTAGAGTGTCCTAACAACCCTACAAAGCTGCTGTGAGGCTTTGAGGTCCTCATGGAAGAGTTTGGAACACTGTTAGTTTACAGATCTAAAGCACGCTCGTTTGCAGCGGGCGAAAGGTGCGCTATGCAGCCAATGGAGGATACCCTCATAGCCCTGAGCCTCGTATGAAATACTGTTTGACAGAGTCTGGTTCTGCCTCTGTACAACAGGCTTCTTTTTCCTTTCTCTAAAACACCTTCTCTACTGCCAGATGGATTCATTAGCCTCCCAGGCACGAACGGGCACGCAGCTCACAGACGCCTTCTCACTGCACCTGACTTGGCTGCCCATCTCTAGGCAGCTCACTAGCATGTGGGTTTGGATTAGACATTCTTCAGACCAGATTACGGAATGACTGAGGTCGGCCTCAACCCAGGCTGGGCACACATGGAGCTAATTGCGTGCATCCGGAGGTTACTGCGGCCACAATGACAGCATGAAGGAAATCCCCCCCCCATGCTCGGTAGCCTCCTTCGACACATCTAGGCAACTACAGCTCATTCCACCAAGCCATGGGCAAAGTGACAGACAAAATCAGGACTCACTTCAATCTTTTGCCCACAATAAGGTCACAAGAAACCTCGGTGTTTGGGGAAGGGGGTGGGGGTTGAGGTTCAAAATGGTTCACTTTGGGGGTTGGGTGGTTTTGAAAATATCATGCCTCGTAGCCACTGGCCCAGACGCAAAACCTTTAAACTTAAGCCAGGCAGCTTAGAGGGGTTGGCTGGAGGCGCCTCCTTCTCCTCTAGGACAGCCCCAGCTCTGAGCCCCCCGCCACCATTTCGGGGAGTGGAGGGGCTGCAGCCACACTTACCCAGTCACTGTGTGTTTTTCCCTGTGTGCTGTGCTGAGGGAGCAAGGGGAAAGTGCCAAGCCTGCTGTGTTCCTCTACCTCCCGGCTGCCCAGGTGAGGGGCAGAGGAGGAATGCAGCAGGCTTAGCACTTTCCCCTCGCTCCCTCGTCACAGCAAACAGGGACAAACACACAGCGACTGGGTGAGTGTGGCTGCAGTCCCCCACCCCCTGAAATGGTGCCCTTTCTCCCCTGTACTCATCCCTATACCGCCCAGCCCCCTGCCCTGAATCCTGCACCTCTCACATCCCCCCTGCTCTGAGCTCCCCAGCCCGTCCTGAATCCTACACCCTTACATCCCCCAATTCTGAGCTCCCAACCTCCTGCCTTGAGCCCTTTGTACACTCCAACCATGACTCCTGCATCCTCAGCCCCAGCCCTAACTCCTGCAGCCCCCAACCCAAACCAGTCCTCTGCCCAGAACCCCTGCACTCCTCCCCGCACTCCTCCCTGTGATTTCTTACCACTACTGTTGTATCACCATCCCTACTCCCGCCCGAAAGCACCCTCCAAGGAGGAAGAAGCAGGTTGTGATAAGACAGTACCTATAAGAAATGTAAGTTACTTTCCCCCCTGGTTCTAGATAAAAAATTTGTATCTGCAAAACTGAGCTGTGGCTATCCGCATGCAGATCAGCAGATGCAGGCCCCAGACTTGTAGGGCTTTCTTTGGAGGCTCTGCTCTTTACTGGGTATCTGGGGAGTCCACAACCAGACTGGCAGTGGCCCAAGAACATGTTTTCTAGTGAGGCTTCGGCTACTTCCTGCAGTTTGGGAATTCTGCAGAAACAATCTGCCCTGGGGTGTTCTGGCTCTTCCGCTGCCAGGCACAGCCAGATCCAGAAAGCTGGAACCTTAGCATCTGGGGGGGCTGTCCAAGGAACAAGCACAGCATTCACTTTGTGTGGAGTTTCTGGGCAAATGGGAAGATTCGTTGCTTTTGGATTCTGTTCCGTTGCTAGTTCCTGACGTGTGGCCTTGGGGCGCGCCAGCGTACTCCTCAGCAGCAGCAACGGGTCTCTTGAGTTCTGGTGCCTGCTGGTGTTTGGAAGAGAGACGAAAACTTCTTCATAAAATTGCAATTGATCACAAAGCAGAAACATCTGGTGGAATTTTGTGTTGCTCTTCAAGAAAAACAGGACTTTATTGCATCCTACAATCAACCTTTATCTGCCAGCTACAGTGGATAAGGGAAGAAGTTAGTGTAAGAAATGCTTTCTAACATATCCTGTGAATGCCTAGTTCATTCTGAATTGGTGTATACTTTTTAAATTGAGTATCCATTTCTGGGTCAGATAGAGCCAAAGGGACCAAGTTAGGTCTTCTGTTCTTTCTTCCCAACTTCCCCCCTTTTCTTAGTTTAAAGTCTAGAGGATTTAATCAGAGAGAGAGAAACCTCTGGTTAAGATCCCGTAGAACAAGTTGTGTAAAATGTGCATGCGTTCTGAGTTCCACACACGTAAAATTCATAACAAATTGCTACCTGTATTTTTGTGTAATTTGCTTATGGCATTACATTTACAGTAGGAGGAGAGGAGCCAGAGAAATACGGCGTTTCCTAGTTCTCACTAGATCTTTTCCAAAATGTTCCAACCATTTTGTGAAACATTTGTTGAGATTTTTAAAGTCTTTTTCAAAAGTTAAAGAAACGTTTCTCCTTCCCTAATGCTCTGCAATCTTTGAAAGGCACCATATATTTGGCTTCAGTAATCCAATCCAGTTCCTAGTTCAGTCTGGTTTTCAGACCCAGACCCCAACTGTTAAGTTTTCTTGCATCCCTGGTTCTTGTATTTCAGAGGACATTCTGCAGTAATTAGGATATATTTCTCCCAACAGGGCATAAACTCCATATAGAAATTCTCTTCTCTGGACTGTTTCATGAGCTGAATGGCACATCGGGAGGGATTAAGAGTTGAGTCCATACTCTCAGTGAATTAAAATACCTGGATGATCCATTAGAAATGAAATTGCCCCCAAGCCTGCATCCATGTAATTCTGCCAGACTTTTATTGTATGAGCGACTGTACACACGTCGTTGTAATTTAAATGCAAAGAGCTTGAGTGTCCCTGACCAAGCACAGCACTTGGGGGAGGGTTGTTTTTTCTGCTAGGCAGAAAGCCCTCTTTGTGTCTTGCATCACAACTAAAGAGGCAGAGAGGGGAGAGAACCAACGTCCAGGAACCACAAAAGGCCACGTTTTTAAGGGCGGTAAAGGGGCTGGGTTTTTCTGGTTGGGCCCCAGTTTTTATTGATGCCTCAGTTTTAGAGTCCTTCTCTCAGCCCAAGATCAGCTTTCATGTCAGGGGATCGAGGAAGGGAAGCCAGCCTGCTGCTCGCTTAGGAATGCGCTCGGAATGAGGAGCTGGGGTTTTCAATAGAAAACGGGATGGTTTATACTGAGGCTTCTGAGATAATGAATCTCATTACAAAACAGCCTTTCCCTGAAGCAGAGACGTGTGCAGGGGCTTTGCTCTGGGGGGAGAGGGGTATCTTCCAACCACGTGGCTCCTTATGCAGTGCTTGATTTTGAGAAGCCCAGTGTAGTAATATTCAGATGCACAGCAAAAGGGTCACTTTCCCCCAGGGGCTCTCTTGTACAGTGTTTAGAACCACGGCAACACACCTTGGTTAGAGCCTGGAACAGCAGCGCGTGGAATCTAGCCGTGGACGTGTGCCGTGAAATAAATTCCCCTCTACCTTTCCCCCTGAAAGCCCAGCCATACAGCCCCTTGGCTACTGCAGAGCCAGAGTGGATGTTGGATTTCAGACATGGTGGCTGGCGTTCGGTTGGTTTCAGCCCTGCCTTTAGCTTGGTGTCAGTCTTCTGGCTCTTGCTGTGGCAGGGTTGGTTCCTGTGGAGTGCTGTTTATTTGCCATTTTTGCACCTTCTTTGAATAAATATTTGCATAAGTGGTACAAGTTCCTGGGTGTAGGGGAATCTGAGAGTTGTCAAGCCACAGAATGCTATAAAAATTTCGTGTGTGTTTGTGTGTGTGTGTGTGTGAGAGAGAGAGAGGGAGAGAACCAGCCAGTATTATGTGACCATCCCTAAATCAAGCCATAAATCTTTTGTGCCGTACTACACCATTACATTATCCTACGTACAGCATTTATTAACGTACTCGTCCTCCCTTGCTATCCATTGGCTCCCCCCCCCCCCCCCCCCCCAGTGTCCCAGCCACAGTGATTTTTCTAATGTTTCAGGGTTTAGACTGACCGTTGATGGGGTGTCATGGGTTGCAAGGGAAATCCAAAGAGAAAGGATGACTTACAGAGCGAAGAAGCCAAAGTCTCCCAGGCCATTTCTATGACCACTTGAACCAACAACCATCCACTTGTATCCATCTGCAGCTGTTATGTGTGGAAATGTAGGATTTGTAATCTGAAGGGCCAAATTCCCTTTCTCGGGCCTGAAGGGCGTCTTTTTTCTCACTGACTGAAAAATTCTGTTGAGTGAATTCCTCTCATTTGGAAGCATTCACCTCAGACAGAAAGGCCCCCCAGACCAAAAGAATTTCACAAGAAAACATCTAAGGGACAATCATTATTAATGGGAGCATTTAGTTAACTAAAATAGATTTTCCATGAAGTTCCAGGAACCTTCTTGCTTTTTTTTTTTTATAAAGAAACTTTACTACTTGTCTGGAACATCTGTGCAAAGAAATTCCAGTGTGAATCTAATCAGGTCTATGCAGGCTGCAAAGCTACTCTGAGTTAGACTTCCCAGGAGGGATTAACGGTAACATGCATGGCTCTGGAGCTCATCTACCAGAACTAAGGTGTCCTCCTCCATTAAACCTGACTTTCCATTAAGGGAAGTATTGAGGAAATTTCTTAAAACTCCTGATCTTGGGGTTGGCAGTGCCTGACATTATTCCAACATGCCTCTGTGGCAAACAAAGTACAACTACAGGTTGAACCTCTCTAGTTCATCTTCC